AGGGAAAGGCACTGATTCCGATGACCACACTCCCCGCCCTCCTGCCCCCATGCTGGGTTAGAGCCGCTGAGGGCTGGCTTGGACTTCTGTATTGTCCCTTCATAGCACTTGTCACAGCTGTAATTTATTCTTTGTGTGATTAATGGGCGAGTGGCTGTCTCCCCCGCGAGAGCTGCTGGAGACCTGTTGGGGATATCTCGAGGCAGGGGTCTCTGGCACATTCGCCATGCTCTCCCGAGGGTTGAGCACAATGTCGGCCATAGCAAGTGCCTGGTAAATACTCATTGATTAAGGTCCACATATGACAAGTAGGGTGGGGATGTCTACTCCTTTTCCTTGTCCTCCTTCCCACCCACTTTCTATTTCTTTTTTTCCCTTGCCCAGGCCGTATGCCCAATGGTAAGTCCCTAGGGTAGCCTGTTGAGCTAAGTTGCCAAATTTAGCAAATGAAATACAGGATGCCCAGTTAAATTTGAATTTCAGATAAACAGCACATGATTTATGTCACAACATTTTGATATGTCTTGTGTATTTATACTAAAAAACATATGGATTGTATTTTTTTTGTAAAATTATATATCAAAATATTTCCTGTTGATCTGAAATTCAAACTGAATTGGGCATCCTGTATTTTATTTGGCAGCCATACCTCTGAGCTGGTCCTTTTGATGAGGCTGAGTCTGGTGGGGAGAAACCCCACTTGCTTCCTGCCTCTGTTTCAGTGTCGTCAGCCAGGTTAATCGCATCACAACTCGATGGCTGCCTGGTACCGAACCAGCACAGAGAGACGTGCAAGGCCCAAGTGGCTGGCCTCGAGGAACTGAGGGAGACCAGGCAAAACTGGCTGGGGAGTGGAGGCCTGATGAAGAAGGCAGCTGACAAAGATTAAGACCCAGCTTCAGGCCAGGCCTTTATTTACCTGCAGATCTGAGAATGAATGCAATCATGTGCCCAGTAATAACTACTGTAGAGAGCTCCACACTCTGTCTTGTTAAATTCTCACGACCTGACAGGTAGGAGGGATCATCTCCATCTCTCAGAAGAGGTAGTGTGTGCAGAGATGAGAAATAGTTTCCAAGACCTTCCTCATAGCTGGGAGGGGGCAGAACTAGAGTTGGAACTCAGAGGTGCCTGGCTAACCCTTGGACTCTCCAAATCATTGCACTGTAGGGTGGGGAAGGAGCACCACAGAAGGAGTCAGGAGTCCCATGTGCTAATTCCAGTGAACTCTTATTGAATTTGAGTGTTTTTTATCATCCATCCGTCTCTTCATCCATTCATTCATCCATGCATCCGCCCACCTACTCACCTTTCTATTAATCTGTTTATCCACCCATCCACCCTCCCATCCACCCATCCATCCACCCATCCACCCATCCATCCATCCATCCATCCATCCATCCATCCATCCACCCACCCACATCCATCCATCCATCCATCCATCCATCCACATCCATCCATCCATCCAATGAGGGGGATAATTTTACCCGCCCTACTCACCAGTGTCGTTGGGGTATTTGTCTCCCTTGGTGCACGTCCTCCCATCGTCCTCCTGGCTGTAGCCCTCCCGGCA